CCCCAAAACCCCAAAACCCCAAAACCCCAAAACCCCAAAACCCCACAAGTGCTAGCTTAGATTGAAACATAGCTTTTCGTATTTATAACTATGAAATGGAAGATGCATCATAATTTTGAGAAAAGAATAATCTGGTGAATGCTCATCAAGAAACATCTTATGAATATGGGGTTTAATATCCCTATTCAGCATTTTAATTAAACATTTTAAACCACTTGTGAGCATTTTAATATAATCACCTTCCAGTACATTAGCTCTTATAGTAAGATGCCTATGGAAAATGGAGGTTTTCATAAAGTTTCAAACTAGGCATAAAAATTTGACGCAACTTTCACAGACGATACTATTTAATAAATTAGTGCTAAATTTTTTAGAATATATACAAGATTGGATAACCCTTATTTTTCGATCATTAGAGAAATTCATGTTGAAGAATTAGAGTTTTTACCTAAAATCGTAAAATTATAAAGCCTTCACCGACTTTTGAATTAGTTTCTGGCACTATTGTTTTAGGCAGACATAAGATGTTGAAAGCTTCCTGGTGACGATTTGCTTTTCCTTCTCTTTGATAGAGAGACCAGCCATGCAAAGATATGAATAATAGAAGGTTTGCAACTTCAAAACTTATAATATCATGAAAGAAACGAACTCTTTGCTCAATTTCTCCTAGGATTTGGGCATGCTGTTGAATGTTTCTTGTACGGATTTTATAGTGATTTCTAAGTGGTGAAGGCTTCCTAAAACCTTAGCTTAAGCACTATCCACTTGATTTATTCATTTTAAGGTATGATTCAAATAAACTAACCTAATTTTGAAAACATTCATAATAGGCATGAAGGAGTTCCAAGATTAAAAATTGAATAAAATCCTACAAGGCCGTTGTTGTGTGCTCTTTGAGAGGTGTAAGGACACTCTTTGGCTCAGCCTAACCTAAATTTGTCAAGTTGATTTGAAAGAGCATGAATAAAAATTTAGTGATATGGTGAATCCTAATGAGCTAGTACATCCAGAATTGACTTTCTTCTACTGATAAAGCAGAGGAGGGATCCTTTCCAGAAATTCTTGACTAAATACAGCATACGAGCTTACTCTTTCACTACTTTTTGGTAATTTTTCCTCATAATTTTGTATTTTATTTAGATGATTATTCAAGAAATAGAACTCAAACAAAAATTCCCTTCTAAAACTAAGAGGGTGGTCTAGAAGGCTTAATTTTTACATAACTTGATATTTTATTCATAACAACTAAAAATAACAGTAATGTTTATTAACTCTATATTCATCATTTTATTATGAAGGAAACTTTTCAGAAATCATCAAGTTAGCCAGTCTAACTTAATTTTAGCCACTTATAAAATTCTTAAAAGTTTTAAATCTTCCTACATTTTCTCTATTAAAATAACTAGTCTTCAAAAGTCATAAAACATCATCAAGTTACTTATAATAATAATTTAACTTATACAGCAGCTTTTGTACCTATCCAAAAACCAGAGAAAACTTCTTCCTACATTCTATTCACCTAATTCATTAAATCTCCCTTATCTTGCTTTCTAAATTTCTGATTCTTTTATTTTAACACAACAATTGCTCAATTCAAGAGTTCTACCACAGTTTCATTCCTACATTTTCTCGAATTCTTCAAAATTGTATAACTTTTATTAATTTTCAAAATTTCCGAACTTTCAGCAGAAATTAAAAATGTTAAATAAGAGGTATCCCAGAGCCAAACTAGATCTCTTTTCATGAGAGCAGTAACTGTAGGATCTCACTCGAGGGGATCTTCTTCAGTTCCTTTGAGTTTCTCCTAGGAACAAAAGAGCTGAAAGTTAACGGTTTCAATTTCTTTGCATGAGGGTTATGCTTAGATCATGTTTTAAAACCTGTTGACTTTCCAATCACAATAGTATCGTCTTTGGACAGTTGTCCCTTGCAAGGAATTTCTAAGTTCTTTATAAAGTCTTCTTTTTTCAGTTTCCCTTTGTTATCTTTTAAAGTGTTTTTAAACTGATGAGTCACCTTAGGTATCTGAGGGAAGCAATCATCGCTATTATCACAAGATACCTGGTCATCACTCCATATATCTTTCAAGGTAAGGGATGGCTTGATCTGGCCTGCTAGATTCATTAAAGTAAATTATTATGCAATCTTTTCAATTATTTTCACCTATCACGGGGTTTTGGGGTTTTGGGGTTTTGGGGTTTTGGGG